TACAATGGGTTTGGAAAGCAATATGGCAATAATGAAAAAAGTAGGTGTTAGAAAAACTTCTTAGTTTTTTTATAGTCTGATATTAAAGAAAAAGAAAAAGGAAACAATAGATAGGCAGCTGATACTTGTTTGCCATGAGCTATAGACATTCTTTTCAATCATTTTTAATTGAAAGATAATTTTCTTTAGTTCTAGTCATTGTACAGTAATTTTAGAATATAGAAGACTAAGATTTTTCTAAACAAACTCATGCACAGAGACAAATTTTTTTTGATCTAAACACCAGCTAATTAATAAGGACACTCCTATTTACTGTATAACAGTATCTTTCTATAGGGAATTCTGAAGAAAGCCAGTTTTTTAAATCCCGTAAACTATATTATTGTATAAAGATTTCCTTTTCAACCTTCTAAAAGCTTCCTGATTTTTCTGTCCAATAATCATAGCCAACAATACAAAATAAAATTATAAATAATAAACAAGTGGATCCCTTGGTTTGAAAAGAAATAACCCTCACTTGAAGAAGTGTAAATTGCACATAGTAGTGCACACCTGTTATAATTCCATTTACTCAGGAGGCAGAAGCAGGAGGATCACAAATTCAAGGTCTGGGCAACTTAACAAGGCTTTGTCTCAATCAATCAATCAATCAATCAATCAAAGGCTGAGGATGTAACACAGTAGAGCACTTGTGCAAGGCCCTGGGTTCAATTCCCAGTACCACCAATAAAACAACAAAACATATGTGATATTTTAGCCACATGACACATGGACTACGTTTTGCATAGCAAAAAAGTAAAAAGTCATTTATACATGAAAATGATTTCTTAAAAACAGTAATATTGCAAAAAACTTAAAGATACTGTCTTAAAAGGAAAGAAAACTATTTCAGATTCTAGTTTTAAATACTTAACGATATTAGAAGAAAATGTATATGTAAAGATCATTTTAAGTTTTAAAAATTAAATAGCATCATAAATTATATAGGAGAAAGTGACAATCTTATAATCCCTAAACTTTAATATTATACTGTAATAATAATGTGATTATGCAACTTTTCTACCTATTTAGATTTCTTTTAAAACTGAAAATCAATCTGATCCAAAAGTCTGCACATTATTCATGTGTAATTTAGGTGACATTCATCAACTGACTGCCTCTATTCTGCTTTAAGACAATTAACGCATTTAATGGTACCTACTATGTGTCACAAAAAATAAAAATACATGTTTTGCCAGTTTAGAGACATTCACAGTTTGATGAGGGGAGAGAAATACATAATGACAGTGCAATATAACAAATATAATTAGAGAGAAGTAAAATAAAACTCAAAGAATTAGCAAATATCTGACAAAAGCAGAGAATTATCAGGGAAGACCTCAAAGAAGATAGCACGTTGACTTTTGAGCAGAGCCTTAAAAGTAGAGATATGTCTGGGTTTTGGGACAATGGGAGCACCCAATTTTAAATTTTCCTCTTCACCCTAAAAAAAGAAAATAAACCATAAAAGCAACTAAGTAAATAAAACCACATCTGACTCATACCTTCAGCATAATGAGACAGAGGAGGACACAACAGCCTTCAAATTACTTGTCATTAAAAAAACAGACCAAATTCCAACAGAGGCTGAAGGCTTGGGAGACTATGAGATACTGAAAATGAGTAGAGGGGTATGGAAGACTCAGACAAGGCAAGTCAAAATCATCTCCGGAAAAAGACCAACAGTAAAAGCCAAAATACTAAAAACAGGTGGTCAACAAGTAGGAAAGAGGATCTGTCTTGGAGAAGCACAGCTTCAGGGAGCAAACCACATAGACAGAAGAGTGGGTACCCTTGGAAACCGGGCAGTGAAAGGAAAGATGAGGATCCTACAGAAACAAAAGAGAAGGCATACTAATTCTACCCCTGCCCCATCACCACTCATAAAAGAAACTGCACAGGGGAGGGCGCTATGGAGTGCTTTAAATAGGGAATGAACCAATATACCAAAAAAGCAGACCATACACAGAAAACTGCTGTAGAAATGTGTATCAGAAAAATGCTAATCAAGGCTCCCTCTCAAACAAAAACAAACAACCACAAAGCTGACCAGTAATAAGAACAACCCAAACTGAATTTAAAATCTTCAAACAAGCATTTAGGGGATAAGAAAAACATCCTGAAGCAGAAACGAGTAAACAAACAAAAAAGGAAGAAATGAAATAACTCAGAAAAGAAACAAAAGAAGTAACAGACATGCTCCAAACAGATGTGGGAGGATGCATCCCCCCACAATGAAGCACAGGGAAAGGAACTCACTGGCAAGGGGATGCGCATGTGTGTTGCACAATTTGTAGCCTGATGAACTACAAATAACCACTATGGGCAAGTAGGTAGTGCCTGATCATCGAGGACTTTGAAAGACAAGCTAAGGTCTACTGATAGCATTTTCAAAGCTGGGATGAGAGGAATAAACAAGGAGGGAGAGAACATGTTTTCACATTCAGTGAACTCCTTTAAAAACTCAAGATCTACCACTTACTACGGTTGGGCTGATCAATTCTTTTTAATGCTCTAAGCCTTTATTTGTAATCTATAATTGGATGGATGGATGTTTGGGACAGACAGGTAATAGATTAGGTGGAAGATAGGTAGACAGACCAAAATACATACACACAAATAATAACTGTACTTGTCTGACCCTGGGTTCTTCCCCAAGTAGAGTATCAGAAAAGGATCTGTACATAGGTAATTTAAATGGAAGAAGTAAAGGACCACAGAGGGTGAAACTAGAGACATAAACTAATCCAAAGGTACTTATTGACATGGTCACTGTTGTGGATAACTGGAGCTCAGTCTTGCCTGGGCTCTCCAATGAACAGCTAGAATACTCTTAGAATTGTCTGTGCAAGAATGGGGAGAAACATTTCTCCACTGGCTCCTGCACCCTTGAGATAAGGGTTGTCCCAGAGAAAGCATAAACATCCCCACACTTCCAGGCTGCACATGTCTGCATGCCCTCTCACCTGCAGTCCCACTGGGTGGGCAGTGAAGACTGGGGCAGAAAGGGAAAGATGCACAGTGAGCATCTGCACACTGCAAGCCAAAGCCTGCATGAAGAGGCTTGAAGATGAGGTGAAGTGGTGCTTAAGGGACAATGAACAGAATATAGCTCAGATCTCCTTCAGTCTTCAAGGAGCTAGAACTGCTACTATACAGTGATGACAGGGAGAAGCTTATGTAGAACTCATGGGATGTTTCTTGTTGCTTCCATGCCCATGGAATGATGAACAGGATTTGCAGCAATCATAACTCAACAAGAGCAAGGCAACTAAAGACTTACATCAATCAGAGATAAAGGTCTGAATCACACAAGTCAAATAACATCCTGCTTGGCTGTCCATCTTTCTTGCTCCATTAGCCATTGCCCCAGATCTCTGTGCATCAGAGTACCCCAGATGCCAAAGTGGCCTAATATTGTAATTATACCCATTCACCTTGCTACTTACAGTTAAGTTCCACCGTCTTTCCTTTGCCATTCCAGAATCATATTATTTCTATGATACTAGGGAACCCAGTTCCATAGAAGCATCTCCATCCCATGTCCTCTCAACACTGCATTCTTTATTTGGTGAAAAAAGTGTTTTCTTTGGATCCTCTAAGAAATCAGATAATGTGTTCTCCTGTCTCCTATAAGAAGCCCACTCTAATACTTTCTCTTTTCTGAGACTTCTGACCTACTCTGCCAAAGACTGTGTATCCTTGCATATTTACCTACTGTATTTTAGGTCATATTCCTGTTCAAGCTTCAAGAAACCATCCCAGCAGTACATTACAACTAGGTTACTGTGATGTTTAATCCAGAGTTATGACTTGTGCTCTCATGGTAACAGAATATGCTTACTGTCAATAATTCTCCCTTATCCACCCTTATTCTCTTCTCCCTTGCCACCCCTGCTCCATCCAATAATTTCCAGATCCACTTTCCCACATGTTCCTCCTGTTCATATTGACATATACTGTATTAACTGGATCCTGGAATTATCTGCCTGAATATTCTCTCCCGGAATAAGTACAACACCCTGATTAAACTCTGCTGAGATTGTGTCCAGTTGTTCTTCTGGAAGCAATAAGGGGAAGGGAGGGGGCATATCCCGAGACCAGGCATCATCCTGTGAGGCATCCACTTTGAAAGGATCTTTGCATGGTCTCCAAATAAGGGACGCTTCTTCTTATCTAACAAGATGTTGATCCTGCCTGTCCAGAACATGCAGGGAAATACAGGGGTTCAAGATTCTCAGGTTCATCCACCTAGACATCACCTTTTGAGATCTCAGGAGCCTGACATTTCCTTATTAGGGCCCTGACTTTGCTCCTGAACACCTGTCAAGAGTGTACTGGTGAGGCAGAACCACTGTGAATAACAGAGGAAACTTATAAGGGTTCAGCCTCCCACAGGTGTGGGAGCTGGTTGGTCTATATAAGACTGGCAGTTCCACATCTGGAGCTGAGGCTAAAGACATCAGGGCAGGGAGCTGGAAAGGCAAGCATCTTAGTCATTTTCTTGTCACTGAGATGCAATACCCTACACCCACAACTTAAAAGATGAGTTTATTTTTGGCTCACATTTTTAGTCCCTAGTCTGCTGGCTCCAAAGTATGACAGCATGGCCAGGGCATAGTGCAGGCACAGCTGCTCATCTCATGGCAGAAAGAAAGCAGAGAGATGAAGGGAGGAGCTGAAAATGAAGAAACACTCTTCCAGGTCATACTCCCAGTGACCTGCCTTTCCCACAAGACCCCACCTCCTGACAGCAAGTCAGCTATAATACCCTCTAATCCTATCATGTTTCAAAAGCCCCACCTATTGAGCATATGAGGCGTTTGGGGGGACATCCAGATATCAACCATAACAGAAAGTCGGACATGAAGTGAGAATGAACCAGGATAAATTAGAACCCCAAAGATAAGCTGGAACGCATGAAGATTAACAAAGCCCATATCATCTGTTTCTACTTTCAGGCCTCCAACCTCAATGATGCTGAAAACCTGCAGAAAAACTACCCACTGCCCCAGGATCCCAGAAGCTAATGGATAGGATCTAACAAGAGCGGGAGAAGCTGCAGCCCTGGCCACTGCTCCATGCCAACAATGTGACACAGCAGATCAGCAACAACGTGTGGTGCTGGAACAGAGCCTAGTATCATCACCAGCCTTTAGACATAAAAGATATGCAGGTGCTACTTCACTTCTGCCCTCCAGTCTCACTCAAAATTATTCTTGTGGCCACTACTAACCCAAAATCCAGAAGAAAGTTCTGGGAAACATAATTCCCAGTTAGCTCTGTGGACACATTACAAACCCATACAGAAAGTACACAGCTCTGCTCTCCTTATGATTAAGTCCTGGCCCTGATTTTTTAGCATTACCTGGTTTATGGCCACTGGGACTGAGGATCTTTCCAAATGCTTCCATGACAGTCCTCTTTCCATGGCATGCGTTGATAATTTGCTAACCTGTTGTTTTCACGGTTTCAAAAGATGAAAGAGGTTAGTTATCTCAGAGCCCTTACAGTGACCACTGTCTTCAGATTACTCGAGTCCTAGAGTTATCACATAACCCAACTCTTCACCTTCCATTCAGTGCTAGTCCTAATCCTCCGAAGATAAGTCTTACAAGTCCTTGTTCAGTTTCATCGGTAAGTAATCCACTCCAATATCCCATCCAAAGGTATGCTTTCTAGAGTCACGCTAGGTACTAAGTTGTTTTAGCCTGGAGACACATAAAAGCAGTTTTTTTGGAAGGTAACACCAGTGAGAAGGAGTGAGGAATTGAGTGAAATGGACAATAAGGAAAAAACAACGCAAGGATGCACTATCAACTCAATCTAATCTGGATTTTTTGAGGAACATACAAAATGCTTCTCAGAATTTTCCACTCTAAAATCAATACAGAGAAGGGTTTACTATCCGTTCTCATATCCCATTAGTTAAAGGTTGCCCTAGTGGGACATTAACCCCATTACCCTCCTGGAATGTGCGCTTGTTCTTGATGAGCCAGCTCTGACCAGGATTCTAAGCCTTGCAGCAGGAATCAAAGTCCTGGGGCAAAAAATGGAAAAGGTGCAGTATGTGTACTTCAGGTGAGCTGACATCAACAGAGAACTGTTTGGCATAGCTGCAGTTGAGACTCCAGAATGGGGCAGACAGGGTGCGGGGTTGTGCACCAGAGGTGTCAGATATAATACTCATCACACAGGTGTGTCATGAGGATTAAATAAGATATGCAAAATGCTTGGCAGAGATATGACAACAAAGCTCAATAAACTATAGCTGTTATCATTAGGTTAGACACAGAACTAAGACTGCGGTAGTGGCAATGGTGAGCAATAAGCAGAAAAAGGAGATATTTCAGTTACAACTGATACAACAAGAAGAAAAACTGGTGAGCCAGGAGAACAGAAGACAGAGGAAGAAATCTAGAATGTTTCTAGCTAGGGTCCTAGCAGGTTGGAAAATGGTAATGTCTCTAAATAAAACAGAAAGCTGGAGGAAGAAGCATTATTTAACTTGAGACACCTGTGACCATCAAAATGTTTCTGATGAGAAACTCAAGAAAGGGGTGAAAGCTGATGGATGATAGTTCAAGCCATAACAATTCTTTGATCTCCAGGAACAGTAGAAACAGCTACAAGAAGAGAGAAGCAGCCAGTGTAGTAAGTTGAAAGAAGTATAAACTGCTCTTTCAAATTCTGGTGGGAAGGAGAATAGTAATAGCTAGAGGCCACAGAAGTTTTATTTTGTTTTTTGTTGTTGTTTTGTTTTTTGGTACTGGGGATCGAACTCAAGTCCTTGCACCTGCACAGCAGGCGGCGAAACCAGTGAGCTAAATCCCCAGCCCCTGTTTTGTTTTCTAACAAGAAGACTCAAATGTGTTTGAGGCAAAGAGAGCTTGAGGATCCCAGAAAGGGGAGGAAAAACTGGAGTAAAGTCTGAAACGTGGAAGATTTTTAAAATAGGTGTTAGAGAACAATCTGCCTTGATCCTATTTAATATGCTTGGGTTTGTTTTTAATACATCAACTAGAAAATGTACATTTAACATCTCATTTCCTGGGACCAACTTAATAAGGTTATAAAATATTTTTTAATAAAACCTTGTCTTTTCCTATTCAACATTACAAAACATAAGTTTCTTAGACTGATTTAGTTTCAGTCAAAAGGTGACAATTGTATGCAGTGAGAAAAAAATCTTTTTCTATTTGAGGTTGTTTATTTCCCCTTTTTTGTCAGGAGGTAAGATTATTTATAAAACAATTTTCAGATAATGTCCAGTTTAGGCAGTGCCAGGACAGTATCGACAGCACATACATTGCTCTGAACTCCAAAATCTTAACTCCTTCTAGAGGGTCCAATTAGCCCAACTCTAGCAAATACACGAGAACTGAAAAATAAGCTAAACAGCTAGCACATTAAGTTCCTTTTAACTGCCAGGTGGTAAGCTATTCTGAAGCTGTTTAGATTTGTGGTTGGGCCTCAACCCATGTCTCTGGACAACATTCTGCTGGAGGCAGAACAAAGTTATATTTAATGTCTGCGTACTTTTAAACAATGCTGCTCACTCTTCTCTTATTGCCAGGGTCACTTACCTTGAAGACTCACTGTGTTTTTGGTGTATAAAACAGCAGTGTTTACTTATCCAAGTGATTCTGGAATTACATAATTGAGCCAATATGAAAACTGAGTCAATAAGAAAACAAATGCTTATAAAGCAGTAACAAACAGCCTTTTTTCCAATACATGTACCAAATAAATTTAATTTAGAAGAACTGAACTAAATATAAAACACTTCAAAAAGAAGAAACAGAACATTAAGCTTACTAAGATTTTTGGCATGATCCAGAGAACATGCTCAGGGAACTGACCTCCATGGAAATCACAGAAGCATTTTAATGGCCTTGCCTGAAAAACCTCTTTCTCTGAGTTGTTCTACAACATTCTATAAACTTCCATCATACAGCATGTAAGTTTTCTATCAACTTTCTGGGTGTTTTTCTGTACCAAGGAATTTTCTAAAAGATCAGGATAACAATCTTTTTTAAACAATGAAGCTATTTTTCTTATATAAAGAATTGCCTTTTCTTCACAATTCACAAAGAAAAAAATGCACGTCCTCAAAATTCCCATATTTTCCTGCCTCCAAATCTACAAATACACCTGTATCCTCTCTCTCTTCCCCCTGCTATAATAGTGGCAGGTCTCTTGGCCAGCCTGCCCCCTATCCCCATGTGTACTGAATTCTGTCCCCTTCAAGGTTAATCTGGTACTATTCATCTTAAAATAATGAAATAAACAAACAAAAAAACCCTCCCTGAGCCCCACAGGCCTTTCTGAGTCCCTCTCTTCAATCCCCTCCAGAACCAAGTCTCTCAAAAGTTATCTTTGCTTGCATTCATTCCTCAAACTATTCCAATCTGGCTGTTTCCACCAAATCTTCACCAAAATTGCTCTTGATAATGGTAATCAGTGGTCCAGCAAATATCCACCCCCCTCACTCACCCCCAAAGCACTTTCTCTCCTGGGTTAATAGGGTTTCTCCAGCTTTTTCTCCTGGCTCTTCTCCTCTGTATCCTTTCTTAGCAATTCTTTTTCCATCCCATTTCAGGGCTCAGTTCTAAGTCCCTTTCCTCTCTTTTCCATTCTACAATCTCTCCTAAGGTGATCTTACCTACTACCTGAGCTTTAAGGGTCATTTAAAGCTGATGACCAGGATGTTTATCTGCAGCCAGGACATCTTTTTTTTTTTCATTCCAGGCCCACTGATGGCATAAAGCACAGTGGTTTAGATGGGACTTGAGGACAGACTACTTTGGTTTCAAAACCAATTCTATTTACTTCCTGGGTAGTACAACTGAACAACTTAGTAAGCTCTCTAGCACTGTTTCACTATCTGTAAATTGAAATAAGAATAGCAATCAGGGTTATTTTATAGAGTAAATGACTTGATGAAGCACCCACAATGTAAATCATAATAAGCTTTCACTATCCATAGTGACTATTATCATATATGCTCATGAGACTACATTAAAGGCCCTTCAAACTTACTTTCATCTGTTTAACTGGGCCTTATCTTTTTTTACCTGCCCCTGTATCCATGTATCTCTCCTCATTCACCATCTGAGAATTCTAAGGTAGACTCCTAAAATGACCTCAATGACTCTTGCTTTTGTATAATCTTCTCCCCTTAAGCAAATGAACATGATGTGATATCATTCTTTTTTTCTTTTTTTTTTGGTACCAGGGATTGAACTTGGGCCTTGCACTTGCGAGGCAGGTGGCAGAACCACTGAGCTAAATCCCCAGCCCCTGATGTGATATCATTCTTGCAAATGAGATTTTGGAGATATGAAGCCCTATATCAATTGGCTTTATAATAAAATTATTCAGGCAGCCCTAACCCAATCACATGAGCTCCCTTGAAATCTGGGCCTAGAAGTTAGAAGAGGTCCAGAACTCAAGAGACTCCAGGGCCGGGGATTTAGCTTAGTGGTTTTGCCGCCTGCTGCACAAACGCAAGGACCCGAGTTTGATCCCCGGTACCAAAAAAAAAAAGAGACTCTAAGCAGTTGGAAGAAACTGACATGCATTTGCTGGCCTGAAGATGGAGGGGCCACCTGAGGAAGAAAGCAAACTGTCCCTAGAAGCTGATTGTGGCTCCCAGAAGATAGCCAGCAAGGTAACTGGAAACTCCGGCTGACAACAACAGGAACTAACTTCTATCAACAAGGAGCAGGAGCTTCAAACAGGTTTTTGCCCAGAACCCCCAGACAAGAACCCAGTCTGGCTAACTCCTTGGTCTCAGACTTGTGATACTCAGAGCAGAGAGTCCAGCCAGGGCATGAAGACTTCTAAACAAAACTCAAGATGAGCTAAGAAATGGGTGCTATTATAAGCCACAACATTTGTGATAATTCCTTACACAGCAATCAAAAATTAATACACCTAAAAAAATAATAAAATTTTAAACATTAATACAGCATCTCAACAAACAGCACCTCCCTACTAAAGAAGATTTCACATAAATACAACACCTCATTTCAGTAATTTGATCTCCAAATAATTCTCAAATACATTCACAATTGTTTGGCTCAATTATTACCTTTATATTCCAGCTGAACTTCTGCAATAGCTTCCCAGCTGGTCTCCCTTCATATATCTCTCTCAAAGCAATAGAATCATTTTGTACAATGCAAAACCAATCTCTCCACTCCCAACTAGAAATTCTTCAATGGCTTTACACTGTACAAAATGTCTAAACATTTTACTACAACCTACAAAACCCTGCATGAAATGACTCTAGCTACCTTCTCAGCTCCATTTCCTGTGGCTCTCCTACTTGGATATGATGTTCAAGCCAGAGGCCTTTCCTCCAGTA